GAACACTGAATATAAGTGGTCGGTGCCCACCGTGGCACTGAAATATCGGTGTCAGTATCCACCGAACACTTCTTTTTGGTGTACGGTGCTCACCGTGCCAGTTTTTCGGTGAACACACTGATTTATTGTTGTAAATAATAAGGTTTGACACAAAAATATTTTAGGAGCTGATATCGTCCATGTTCAGTGAACACCGGCACCGATATTTTAAGTGGCACGGTGGATACCGAACTGATATTTTAAGTGTCAGTTTTTCAGTATTTTCACTGACACTGCACATCCCTACACATATCCATATCTACTTTGAACTCGAAATCTGTCTCAGTCTTATTTATACTGTCAAAAATAGTCAAATGTAACGGTAAAACTTAGCTGAAAAGCAACCTATAAACAATAGCTCAGCGCAAACCAGAGATGGAACCGATATCGGCATCCCGCCGGTCCGGTTCGGTACCGCTCCGAACTTTACACCGGTAACTCTACCGGTATTTACCGGTCTACCAGTTTCTTACCGGTCTACCGGTATGAAAGGTCTCCCGGTTTCTTGCCGGTCTAAAAGTTTTAGACCGGTACCGGTACCGGTCGTCAAACAACCAGACCGGTTCTATCTCTGGTGCAAACATATAATAGACTCAAGCCTTTGTACTACATACCTTGAGAGCGCAAGTTTATCGCAAAAAGAGATTCTAAAAGTGTTATAACGATTTTTGTTTTAAGACCAAGCGATGTAAAACAATCGAAATGTTTAGAATTGCTTGAGCTAATGGTTCTGTGTAATAGTGAGAACAGACGATGTTGAAGAGTGATGTCACTGCACATGAACTCGCACACAAGCCAACGTAATATACGAATGGTCTAAAGTAGAACTCTGTTTAAAAAGGTGATTTCTTTAGAGATAGAGTCTTGCATAGGTCCTTATGATCGCATAACACCTGAATTATGAACAGATTCTAGAAATACTTTGTTCGACTTTATTGCTCGCTTCACAGCAGCGATTTACATTTGTTTACATAATTTCAGATGATGCGACATATAAACACTGCCTAACAAGATTATCTTCTACTATGCTGCTCACTCTAAACCAAAGACTGACACTTGGTATATAATCAAATATTACATTACAAATCAATAGTTATTACCAAAGTTTGGTTTAAATATATTTTTGTATTCACAAAATAGTTTTATAAATACTGCCATGATCGATGATCGCGTTCCAATTGCATGGTTGACATAACTGTTCTGTTCGAGAATGGTGTCCACCTTAACTATTACTAATACTAAATCTCATAATCCAGTAGTGCATCATAAATGAGTAGTTTTTAGTACGATAGAGTTTCAATATATTGTTTATTTCAGAGTAAAATAGCAATTTTCAAGTGAATTCAAAAGTATATAGTATATGAACATTATTAGAATCAGAGATCAGTTCAAATATACAACTTATTAATGGAAAAAAATTCGTACTTCTCGAGTTATCTGAAGGGTCTAGAAAGATGAATAAGTGATAAAAAGAAACCACTCGTATATATTATTTCTTTCAGGACCAGTTTTGATGCTCTTAACGTGTGAAATATGACATGGTAAATGGAAACACTAAACAAAAATTCTATGCTATTATTCTGACTGGCACGATGTGATAACTTGTAGCTGCCGGCATGACTGAAAGCTCACCTGGAACATGGATAATCTGGAGTAAGAATATGTTCACGTATATTAGTCATTTCATTGAAAAGGTTCACAGGCGTCGACCCGATCGAAGAATACATATCGAATGAATAATTATTAACGCATCCTGGTCGCGTATAATATTCACTTGTAAGAAAAGATCTGAATGTAATAGTTCAACTCAGTGACATATGGCAAATGCTCAGTGCTCACAAATACTCTGTTCGAATATATTATTCAGTTCGTAGAAACTATGTACATCGATT